TAAATGTCCATTACATATTTCACAAAAAACATGCGTTTTCCCTTTACACACCCAATATGTTTGTATCTGGATGCTTCCTTTTTGTTGTCATACTCGTATAAGTGATTTATTTTTTCCATCCTTATTTGCTTCAATGGTCTATTTTACACTCTGGGGTATTTTTGGAGTGTGGGAGAATTCTCATTTGACATTTTGGGACGACCAATTCTTCTTTTTATTGGTTTTCCCACTTTTTTAATACCATTATACTTCCGATTTTTCGCTATATTCCCGTTCTTTTTTTGTAATTGTTTAATCTCTTGTGAATGAAGGTTCCTGGAATCTGTCCAATTCTTATAATTCCAACACAGTATACATTTTTCTAATCGAGTTCTTCAAAAAGTTTGTAACTAGAAACAAAAATTGTCGACGATAAAGATGTTTTTCTTTTGGAATATCATTGGCCAGGTGCAGAACAACTGATGCAACCTAAACCAAACTCGCCGATTAACTCTTTTGGAATTTCCGTTGTTGAACCTTGGTAGATTATAAATTCATAAGCAATTTCACTTTCTCCACACAGAACGGTACAATCTGCTCATCCACACTCGGTTTTGTTTCTTTTTGTAACTCAGCGCAACGTTATTCGGATACTCTCAAAAAAATGGCCGCACTTTATACAATTTATCTGTACACAATCGTTAGGTTTTTCTAGTTAAGGTCCAACAATATGTACAGTACTCCTAAGCTTAAAAAATCTGTCGCTACTCATAACATTGCGGAACACATCTATACTGAATATCTTATTTCAAATACATTCTAATTCTTGGAAAAGATAGACATCCCATGAGGATGTGCAACCCTACAAAACTTTTCATTTCACATCGGTTTTTTGGTTGAAAATTGTTGTTATTGTGGATGTTATAGATATCGGTCATTTCGGCAATTTTATCAAAAAAAAGTTGAGGAAAATATGTTAAAAAGTAATTTATAGGATCCTTTGTTTCTCCTGTACCTGATGTTTCTAAAGTTGTTGTTACAGCTTTTGAATGACGTTTTCTTGTACTAAACTTGCATTTGTACCATCTCATTTCTAGTTTTGGTTTGTTCTTTTTTTTTGTAGATGATTTTAAATTCTTCTATAAGGTTTTAAACAGGGTTGTTTATTAATTGCTCCTCCTAAAAACACCAAAGATTAGAATGTTGTTTAGTATTAATTAATATTTTTTACCTACATTAGATAATTCATGAAAGAGCCTGGAACATCGCCCATAAACAAAACAGGAATGTCGCATTAATTTCTTCATTACAGACATCTTCATTATCTGATTGATCTTCAATTTGAGATAAAACATTATTAGCTAATTGTTAAGTCTGAAAAGGTTAATTTAAGTTTCGTGACATACAAAACGACAAATTTATCAATTTTTCTTGAAACGGTATATCCTACCGACTTAAATAAGAGTACCTTTTGGTACTCAGACTACCCAAAAAATATAATAATCTAGTATCACGAATGCTTGAAAGTTATAGACAAAAAAGTTACGCATTAAACTAACCGTTGACCTACCCAAAACGAACACCTATGAACGGTACTAGAAATTCACAATTAATTAAACCGTTTAAGTCTGGAGGATAAATAATGGTACCAATTTTCATTTTTCTAAATGAAGCCTTCTGGAGGTATTAGAAAAAACTACTTACAAGGCGTCATCTTTAAAAAGCTCTACCCTTAGGAAGCATTTTCGGACTAGGTGAATTAAGTTTAAATCGTCATAAAATTATCTGAGGAATCTCAGATAATTTGTAGTAGCACAGATAACTACACTGCACTCCAAAATTAACGCATAATTTTAAAAACCCTGGTAAATCAAATAATTTTAACGTTTCGATTTTGGTGCTAATATATTATTCTTACCCCCCGTATAATGTAAAATTTATCGAAAGAACGGTAATAAAACGCTGATGTTTTTACCACTTTTTTGCAAAAAAATTAAAAACATAGCAATTATGCTTCATCTTATTTCGAATTTAGTTGAATTGGATTACGTTGTGCTGAACGTTTAAAGGGGTTTTTCAAGTTTATTAAGTGTTTTTCTTTGAAATGAACCACCAGCAGCAAGAAAATCGAAATTTGTCAGAAAGTGACTGTTTTAGAATCATTACTCCTTCGCGAAAAAGGGTACACTCAAGTAGAACTCGCTGAACGTTTTACCGTCACCCAGTCAACCATTTCAAGAGTGTTAACACGTTTTTCTGTTACTGGAAGTAACTCATGAAGACCCGGTCAAGGCCGTAGAAGGGTTACAACTCCCAATCAAGACCGGTTTTGACACCGGACACTAAGACAAAGATTTGTTATCAGTACTTCTCTACAAAATGAATTTTTTGGATCGTTATAACTTTGGAATCAGCCTAAAAAACGATTAGAAGAAGACTTGCAGAAACGACCTACACCCTGACAGGGCAACAATTGGCTCATTGTTGACCAGAGATCATAGAAGGCAAAGATTGCATTTTGCGCGTGAACATGTTGATTGGAATAATGACGATTGGAGAAGAATATTGTTCACCGGTGAATCCAGGAACTGTCTTTTTTCTGATGACAGGAGAAACCGAGTGTGCAGAAGGCCTGGGAACGCTACGCACAGTGTAACGCCGTAGGGACTTTACAGTATAGCAGCGGCTCGGTAATGGTGTGGGTGGGATTAATTTAGAGGCTCTTGTGGAATTAGTTAGAATAGATCGCGGTCAGCTTACATCTCAGAGGTATAAAGAGACAATTATAGAAGACCATGCCGTGCCATTTGCACCATTTATTGGGGATAATTTCATGCTTATGCAAGATAATGTCAGGCCACACACGGCAAGAATTGTGCAGCAGTATCGTCAGGAGGTTGGAATTCCTGCCATGGATTGGCCTGCAAGAAGTCCTCACCTCAACCCAATAGAACATGTTTGGGACATCATAGGCAGACTACTACGACAACTACCTAATGCACCAAACACATTAGGTGAGCTGTTTTTGCGGTTGGTTGAAATTTGGGATCAAATTGATCAAGAAGAAATCCGAACGATTATTCTCAGTATGAGAGATCGTTGTCAAGCAGTAATAATTGCCAGAGGAGGCAATACTCGATACTAGTACACGGTACTAGTATTTTCTTCAACTTTAAAAATTTCAATTTCGTCATTAATTTATAATGTTGGTTTGTTTAGATCAGTTGTTTGTTTAGATGTTTAGATTTATGATGTTATATTGTTAATTTCAATACATTTCTTGTAGAAAAGAAAAGTTTTTTATTTAAGATGTTCTAAAACAAAACCATAAAGCAGAAAAGAACAAACAAAAATTTTTTCAATATAACTCAAAATAAGAATTTTAAAATTATGCGTTAAATTTTGGAGCGCAGTGTATTTTGTTTCTCTTTCATCACTTGGGTTACTTTTTAGTCTCTTGTGTTAAGCGATATAATGATCCATGTGGTAACTCTTATCTGGGTTTTAGATATTTTCCTCTTTATATTATTTCTTTAAGTAGTACTCATTTTTAGGATTGGTTGGATACTAATATTACCAATAAACTTATACATTTTGTATGTGCCTGGGATCGGCTGTGGCAACCGCAGTTTTATTTGATCTCCTCTCGAAATTATCCTAGGCAGCGTTTTAATCCTAGAGGTATTATAAAACTTTTTTATTACCATAATGGCAATTCCATTTTTTCTTATAGTATTTATTTTCGATATTTATAAAACCTAATCTTCATTTCAGTATTTTCTTGTCATGTTCAATAAAACTCCAAGAGTCCGCTTATTTCTATGTCCTCTGTTACGATTTTTTTATTCTGGTATATGTATTTCTTCTGATTTTTATATCCCAGGGTATATTTCTCATTGCCTTTCTTAACCAAAAAATACATTATCTTTCAGTTGCCAATTTTCTACAAACACGTGCCGGTAGAAAATTTTATTATAATTTGCCCGGAACGAACTTAGCGAGGATTGCTAAACGGAATGCTATGAATTGTTTGGGTGGTGGTTGGCATAGTGGTAAGCCTGATAAATGACACCGGGATTGGCGCGAACATTTCTGACAGTAGGGTTTTAATTGGTGGGTAGAGTAGACGATATTTTCTATTTAAGAGGTCTCTATGTCGAAGTTAACCGCATGCCGTCATCTCTTTTATTGAGACAATTTTCAATTTCTATGGGTTATGGTTCTGAAGTTTTCAAATAAATTTTATGACCTGTATAAAGATAATACATATACCTATACCTTAGGTATACGACTGTCAGATAAAAATAGGAACGACTGGGTAAGTATCCAAAACAAAAGTCGAGGACATAACAATAAAAATTGCAAAAACTTAAATGGAGCTTCGCGGCAACACTGCTAGACAGAAAGACCAACGTTGAAATACTACAATACAACATTGGAGATTTTACGAAAGTAAACGACCAATAGGAAGACCACAGATGAGATGGGTTGATAACATTAAAAGAATAGCCGGAACAAATTGGAAATATGTTGCTCAGGATAGAGACCGATGGAAGGAGTTTGGACATAGGAGAGGCCTATGTCCAAACATGGACGACAGAAGGCTAAGAAGAAGAAGAAGAAGAAGAAGAAGAAGAAGAAGATGAAGATAATGTTGATCTAGAGATGGAGTTAAGTCGACATTGCGAACAGAATATTAATATTATATGTTGCTTTAATATTGGATAGTAATTGTTCTGTGATTTGTTTAAACAAATAAATATTAAATTACTTGAATTTCAGCATTTTTTGTTTAATTAATACTCAAGGTTGCTAATTATAACATATAGATGACTCTTTTGGGGTTAAAAATAGCAAGTTACAAACTGATTAATTGTGCAAATATATAAAGTTACATTGCCCTGATCTTACATCAAGACGGTTGTGATATGACCCAATCATTTGCGCAGAAGAGAAATATCATGACTATTATACTTAAACATAGCCATTTAAAGTCATAATAGACATGATAATTGTTCTAGTTAGAACAGAAAATAGGTCACGAAGAAAACCGAAAATTGATTAAAATTGTAGCAATTGTAGCAATTGTTAACTGAAAGCCAAATACTAAGCAACAGTAAAACTTCAGCATCAAACTTAGTGATTAGTAATATTCACAAAATTATTTTATTCCTTACCTCTTTTATTATTTAGGATTTTTATACTTTTTGTATTTACACTTTAGGTAGACAATGTAGCTGCCGTTTTATGCGCAAAGTTCTTAGTTGCTTAGAAATATTTCAGGGATAGACATTTTAGAAACTATTATAAGTACACTAATAAAAATAGGTTTAACTTTAACTGGAAAGTTTCAAATTTATATAAAAGAGGTTATACATTATTAACAAAAATGTATGGCACAAATTACATCTCAAATTTATTTCATCTTCATATTATTAAAAAAACTATTACTTAAAAAAATGTTTACGCATTCACAAATACTTTTCTTCACAAATTCTTTGATTTGTCATAAATGTGTACTAAACCACATTGGTCTTTTTATTTTTTTTAAATATTCCAAAGTACGGTCATTACACAACCAAAAATTCTACCTCAAAAATAGGCTCATGAAAAATTTTGTGTTGTAGGTAGCCATTGAAGTAAAATATAAATTTGAATATTTCCAACGACACTTCTATTTTCGGGCATTCCTATGTGTCTTATATATAGTTTATAAATATAGTTTATAATATAGTTTATAAATATTTATATATAATTTTATTTGACTTTTTAAGGGGAAGTATTTTATTAACGCTATTAAAACTCACGTTTGTTCTATTTTGTAGAAACTTATGTAATATACTGGTTGTTCCAGAATGTTTATTTAATAAATATTACAAAAAATAATGTTTCTTTATTGTTTTATTTTATATTTATTGTTTTACCTATATCATTTGAGAGGGTTGTAGTAAATGTGCTGTTTTTAAGTTAGGTTTATCTTAAGCTAGATTTCAGGAAGTAAATTTTGTTGTATTTGTTAGTACTTGTTTGCCTACTGAGACTGACTAACTGAGATGATATTTATTACATGCTAAGTAAACTTAAAAATGAACCAAATGTTTTGTTGAAAAACTTACTGAGGTCACTGGTTTATTGATTAGAATATTAACGAAAAAATGCAATATTTTGATTGTGAATAAATTAGCATTAATTGAACAATGACTAAAATACCTGGGGTAACTCATTATTGTTATCTGTACAAAGAGAAAGCACTTACCGTTTGGTCTAATAAATGCAGCTAGCGGAGTAAAATACTGTCTGAGCCCTTTGGTGAGAAGACTCCGACAAACTGGAGATGTCTCATTCGATCTGATTATCATTATACCCCTCTTTTTGAACACAAACAGATATATTTCACACATCTATATCAAGGAAACTTATCGTTATCCTGGTAAAAATACTATGAAGCATATTATGTGGACCTGAAATCTTATTTAGGTGGTTAAGGAGATAATAAGCCATACACTGGATTTTAGATATAGTTGCTGAACAATTTTTAAGAGGTTGTCATTACAACAGAGTATTCAAAAACAGTTGGCCAGGGATAGTGAGACATTGCAACAGGAAAATGAATCAAATAATAACCTTTCTTTTTGACGCAAATTTGATTTCATTAAAAGATCAGATGAAGAAGTGGGAGATTGCAAAGCGATGACTGAATATAATAAAGAACTGAGAAGGGTAAAAAATAATCATGGATAAAGCATTGCGAAAGATAGAACATACTGAAAAATATCTAAGCTCCATAAATTTCTTCTTAAAGACCTTCAGACAAGTATACAATCACTCAAAATTGGAGTCACTCAGAATTTTAAATAAGCCCTTTTTTTAGGTGCACCAAACTGGAAATTAAGTGAAACTGCCGTAATGAAAAAGAAGTGGTAGATCAGGCCAAAACCAAGTGAGCGATAAAAGAAACTGAGCCATATAAATTACCGGGTTTGGACGGTAATAATACAACAAACCGGTCTATCTACGTTTCGGGGACCTTACAAAGGAATTTGACCAAGTCAAATTAAAAAAGAACGTTATCCACTTACTGTACGCAAGAGAGATATCTCTACGTATAATCAAAACGATCAAAAATATCTACGAAAACAACACAATAAAACTAAAAGTAGAAAAAGAACTAACCGAACTTATTGAAGTTGACAATAGAGTAAGACAGGGAGATTAATTGAGTCCTCTATTATTAAAACCTGATTATATGAAATTTAGCCAGAAAATTTAACATGTTAATTTCCCCAAAAAAGACAAAAACATGGCAAATTTACTAATATGGAAATTGGAGCTGGAATGGTCAGATGATAGAACAAGCGATGCAGTTAAAATATCTAGGCATCACATTATCTAGCTACGGAAAGCTCGAAACTGAAGTGGAACGATCAAGTGAATAGAGCAAAACAGAGCCTTCTTCTTCTTAGAGTGCCGTCTCCCTACGGAGGTTGGCAATCATAATGTCTATTTTTATTTTAGAACTTGCTGCTCTAAACAAATCAAACGATCTGCATTGGTACCAATCACGTAGATTCTTTAACCTTGAGTTCTGCCTTCGGCCAACAGATCTTGTTCCTTGAATCTTTCCTGTATTATCAGTCTCAAAATTTCATATTTTTATCCCCTCATCACGTGGCCTAGGTATTCCAGTTTTCTGGTTTGTACAATGATGATTAGTTCTGTTTCTTTACCAACCCTCTCCAGTACTTCTTTATTGTAATTCTATCAGTCCATGATATTTTAAATACTCTGCGGTATAACCGAAGAACCGAGTTCGAAGGCCTCGATTCTTTTTAAATTACATTTTTTTAATGTCCAAGTCTCAGCTACATATAATAATATTGAAAATATATAACAGCGAATGGTACGTAGTCTAATCTCCAAATTTAGATTTTTGCACGTTAAAAGTGGCTTCATTCCTATAAATGCTGATCTGCCAATCTCGATTCGCCTGTTTATTTTTGCAGTATGACCATTGGTTTCATTTGATCAAAGTTCCAAAGTACTGATATTTTTTTACTTGTTCTATCACGTTACCATTGATTGTCAATAGTGATGTATATCTTATGGCCTTTTTATAATCAGCATGTACTTCGTTTTTTAATATTCCCATCTCAGCACTATTTATACTCAAACTTTCGATAAGATGTTGTAGATCATCTATACTCGTTGCTATGATCACAGTGTCGTCTGCATATATTAAATTATTAATTAATTTTCCGTTAACGGTGACTCCCGCTTCGATATTATTGAACGTGTTTTGGAAAATTTCTTCAGAATATAAGTTAAACAAAAGTGGTGATAAAACACATCCCTGTCTAACTCCTCTACAGATCCTCATTCCTTCTAAGTGTTGCCATCAATTTGAACTATGGCACTTTGGTTCCAATATAATGTTGGCACTATATTTATGATTTTACTGTCTATGCGCTTGTTTCATAAGTATTAATATTAGTGTTTTATGTCTTACTTTATTGAAAGCTTTTTCGTAGTCAACGAAGCACAAGTGTAAGTCCACATTTACATCCCGAATATATAAATGCTGACTTCAGCCACTCTTGTGGTATTATTCCCGTATCGTACACCGTGTTAAATAAATCTGCCAATACTTCCAAGTTGTCCTCTTCCACTAGTTTTAACAGTTCTACTGGTATTTCATCTAATCTAGCTGCCTTATTGTCTTAAGAGTTTTGATCGCATATTGATTTCATCTATCGTGATCTTCTGTATCTCTAAAGGATTTAATTCTTGTATTTTCTGCATTTAACTTCTCTGGTAAATCTACTAGTAGTACTCCTTTTTTGTCTTTTATGTGTCCTTGCTGTCTATTTCGACCCATTCCAGTCACTTCTCTAAAACAGAGCCGCAGACTGCCTAAATGAAACAATATGAAGAAATAAAAATATCAGGAAAGAGACAAAAGGCAGAATTTACAAAACATCAGACCAATAATGACATACGCGGCAGAAACAATACCTGATACAGTGAGGACAAAAAGGATGTTAAAAACAGCGGAGATAAAAACAGAAAAATTGATGGTAAGACACTATGGGATAGAGCTAGAAGTACAGAGACGATGTAAATGCAAGGTGGAGAACATCAAGAACTGGGTAAGAAATAGAAGATTGGAATGAAACGATCATATAGGACGAATGACAAGTATAGAAATAAAGACGTAAAGAGACGGTTCAGTAGGAACACGATCAGTAGGAAGACCACGAAAACGATGGAACGACAACTTATTGGAGGCACATTGAAAAACAGACAGAATTATGTTTTATATAAAAAGAATAAGAAGAAGGACGGTACTAGTTGGCTTTAAGTTTTACAGTAGTGCTGCTTGGAGGATAATAATGTACTGTGTCCATTTTATTATATTCTAATAATATTGCTTCCTTTGCGATTATTTGAGAGTTTTCAATGTTCTTTTTTATTTTTGGTATGTGAGCTTCTCTTTGATATCTTGTGCATCTCTAGGTTCTTTGTTTTAGAAGTTGTAAATTCCTATTATTTCTCTTTATTTTCACTTCTGCTAGTTTTCTGTAGCTGTTTACATTTTCTGTTGTTGCCAAGGTAGATTTTCATAATTTTCAGCATAGTAATTTTTGTACCGAAAAACTAGTTACTAGTCTGTATATTCAATATCCACGCTTGAAACCATGCACCCAATGGTTAACCAGGGGTTTTTAAGTTCTATTTCCAGAACCTCTAAGTTTTCATTAAAAAGCGATATATATATAATTATATATATATATATATTATATAATATATAATATATATATATTATATATATATATATATATATATATATATATTTATATATATATATATATATATATATATATATATATATATATATAATATATATATGTATATGTCCAAAAGTTTTATTTACAACATAATTATGGGTACCACATCCTTCCTCCTAGATCTTACACCAACTATTAAACGCCATAAAAATTAAATAATATAACAGTTAATTATTGTAAAGCAAAATTATTACGTCCTAAATCCTAAATCGTCACCAACATTATTTTAAATAGACCACGCTTCTTGTTCT